AAATTTTATCAATTGACCCGTCAACAGTATTATGGGAAGATAAAGCCATATCTTTTTGAAAATGTTATGGAATAACAAGATCACGAAGAGAGAGGAGAAACTTTTCAAAAACTTGCGTTTACCAAAAGCAAGATAAGGAAAAATTTGTTATGGAAAAAGCGAAAGACAAAGAGAGAGGAGAAATTTGTTTTATATCTGTGTTTGTCAATAAAAAAAATGAAGGATAAAGATGCGAATGAGAATAAGATGTGATAATAAATGTAGTTTGTGTATAATATTGAATATATAGTTGTCACAACCAAGTATAAGAGCCAACAAACACTATACAAATACAACAATACACAAAAACTTCACCTCTTCTCTTCTGTCCGCTCAGTCGTCTTCTCCTCAGTCTTATCCTCTTCTGTCCCATGTACTTTATTGTCTGCTCCACAAAAACAACAATACACAAAAACTCTTCAAGTCTACTTTATTTTGTCTCTGTTTATGCAATTTTAATGGGCTGTAACATAAATGCGACATAGAGACAATGGAGTTTTCTTATCAAAGATTGATCCCAAGTTCATAGTTTATAGACTCGTTTTTTCTTTTGTCAAATATTAATTGTAAGAAAGTGAAAGTGATGTGATGCTCTGTTTCTGTTTAAGGCTAGACAATAAAGCTTTGTTTTTTTGTTTAAGGCTAGACAATACCAAAAAAAAAAAGCTTTTTTTCAGCTCTTATCTCTCCTAATTAAAGAATCTGAGCAGTTGAGAAAAATTAAAATCCAAAACCTTAACATTTTAGCTCCAACATTTGGATTCAATTTCCTTGGATTCCTACTTTTTATGGAAACTTCGAATCTTACATGTAAACAAATCTCACAAACCCCATAATTTCATATTTTACTATTAACAAGCTTCAAAGATCTCGTTTCTCAAAAAAAAAAAAAAACTTCAAAGATCTAAACCTATGAGTTTAGCATCTAATCGGGTAATTATTTCAGTGGTTTTCAAAACTCAATATGTGTTCATATATAGAAAAGGTTGAAAGTGTTAAAATAGTCAACAAAAACAAAAGAGGCATCTAGAAGACGTGAAATTATGCAACAAATATCAAAAGAGTTAGATAAAATATAATTTATGTGGAGTCTATATCACTATTTACTTTATTTTTTTCCTCTACATAAAGGATGCGTTCCATCAATTTGTAACACACAATTACAACTTCAACAATAAGAAGTAGCAAACCATAATTCTCTCTCAATCCTCATTTCATCAGTATCCCGTTCTTTACCGGGTATAATATTTGTGTTCTTATTGATATTTATCGAAATGATAAATTACCATTCTTTTTATAACGCGTTATCAGCACGATCGCTCTAAAACTCAATTTTCATATGCATATTTATTGTATCCTATAGTGTGCGGACTACCGCCTGATG